TTAATTGGCTTTTAGTATAAACTAAAGTTTACCTATAAACTGTGCGAGAAAATAGATCAAGGATCAAAACTAAAATGGTACTCCTCAAACTTGCTTGACTTATAATCTCACCTTAATTAGATCTTCCATTAGAACCTTTATATAAACTCGAAAGCGCTTTAGCTTATCTAATACGAATCAATTACATAATTTGACATTTTTACATGTGCTTAATTTCACTATTAATCCAATTGAGTTCAAATGTAACATTAATGACTTCTCTTACTCACACAAAAGAAATTAGTTTCAAATTTAATAGGTTGCATATTTCAAACTAAAGTGGTAAACAGTTTGAGTCTGGCTGGACTTCAGACTCGAGTTCTTTGATACTTGAGCTTGGACTGAACCCTTATAGCTAACTGATCAACTTGTTAACAAGTCCGAACAAACCGAACCTTAATGAACTGAATCATGCTAAAAGTTTAAAAATTACATAAAATTTAAGCCTAACAAGTCGAGTCGAAACGAGCCCGCGAGTGACTCGTTTCGTTTCACAACCAGTTCAAATTACTAGCATTCACAAAACAATTGTCATTGATTTTTATTAAGAGTTAAAACCCAACTCAATCCTAAATTAAATTTGTACAAACTATGTACTATCAACGAAATATTTTAAAAATAATATAAGGATTCGACTCACCTAACAGTTAGACTCGCCCCGCATCAAATTTTATGACATAGGTAATAATATGATCACACACAATAGCGACAATACTACACACGCACGTGTGTATTTACTATTTATGCACGCCGCTTTCATATTACTCTCATCACCACACACACGTGTTTATATACTCACACTACATATCCATTTGCTCCCATTTTCCACACAAGAAATCTTGCTGAGCTTGCACCAGAAAAGAAAAAAAAAAATGGATCAGAAAATTGAGAGAAGGCCACACAGACAACAAAGCCCCAATAACAGCAAGCCCAAGAAGAAGGGCCCACTAAAAGTCGTCCACATAGCAAACCCCATCAAGTTCACGGCCACTGCCTCCGAATTCCGGGCCCTCGTCCAGGAGCTTACGGGCCAAGACTCCGGCCCGCCGGATTCCGCCGGGCCCGCGGCGGTTCGTGGCGGATCGGGCCGCCGTGGAGCGGAGGAAGGGCCGACAAAGGAGTTTGGTGTTTGCGAAGGGGTCCAAAACGGGTCGGGTCAAGTGGGATTTGAATCGGGTTACGAATACGGGCATGATGGGCTTTTCGACCCGGTCAAGATGGACGATAGCTTTCAGGGGCTAATGGCTTCTGGGTTTTGGAATGAAGGTGCAGATGATATATCTTGATTATTAAGATTGTGATAATCGGTTGAAAGGTTTGTTTGGATGATAATTAGTGTAAATATAAAGTTGATAATTAGGTAATTGATAATCATTTGAGGAACAATTATATGTTTAATTGTTGTTATGAAATGGTTTATTTTCCAAAAGGGTTTACTCATGTAGCCCTAGCTTAATTGAGTGGCCAGCTTTGAGAAAACTATTAAAAAAAATATATTATGAGATTGAATGATTGGTTTTGTAGATTGTCATATTATTGTTTTATAATGTTTTAGAGGATTGCTTTTGTAGATTGTCATATTATTGTTTTATTATGTTGTATTTGAATAGTTTAGAAATTGAATTTATACCGTTGAAAAAAAAAAAAGTGGAAATGTATGTCTTTATATATTATATTGAAAATATTATGATATTTGAAAATATAATAAAAAAAACAAAAGAAGAAAATAGAATGATGAGTAAGCTTCTTTGCAATAGGATTTTAACATTGTCAAGTATTGAAATTATGATTTTGAAAAAAAAAATGAGATTATATTAGAGTAGGGATATATAGATAGAAGAGAGAAGATGGTACTCTACCAATTAACATTGTCGGTGTGAGTTGGATTTTTTATGACAATATTTGTAATATATACTAATAATCTCCTTTTTTATATGTTTGTGAAAATAAAGCAGGTCAGATTAATTAAGCAAAAGTTAAACAATATCCAAAATTATTACAACCTGCTTACTAAAAAGTAAAAACATGTATTTGGTCTTTCCTCTAATCTTCTCTACAATATACACACATAAAAAGCCAAACCCACACACACGCTTAGTGGGGGCACGTGCCTCCGGTGCTTCCACCTGGATCCGCCACTGCTCGTAACTAAACTCTTGAGTCTTTATACACTAGAGAAAATAGAGAATAAAGAGAGGGTAAGGTCGTTATACACTAGAGAATATACATAATAAATAGAGGGTAGAGAATATACAAAATAAATAGAGGGTAGAGAAATAAGAGAGAAGTTATAATAATTTTCTATACTTTCACACTCAAATATATAATTTTAAAAACAACATACGCAAAAACTTTGAAATATCGTACTCTTATGAATCTAGTATTTTTTCTAGATGTATGTCAAATTTGGAATCAGCCTATTTAGTGTTTGCAAGCACAGTCTTTGTCAGATGAAAGACTCCAATCATATAATAAAAAATACTGTCCTTCCCAAAATTCAAGAAACACCTTAATATAACAATAACAGTACATTTCCATCTCAAGGAACACCTTAATATAACAATAACAGTACATTTCCATCTCAATCCCATATATTCCTTGCTCTCCATAAACAAAATATAAGCAAAACTGGAAACAAACTGTCACCAAAAACAGCCATTAGATAAGGAAACCAAACTAGAAACTTCTTGAAGAAAATAAAAAAAGAAAAAAAAGAAAAAAAAAGTACTAATCCGATTCATCCCTTTTTCCGAGAGTGTTGATCATACCATCTGCATACCATTTCGAAAAGCCTTTCTCAAGAGCCTCTCTCATCCAATCGTGCCTGCAGCATTGAACGACTTCTGATATAGTCAACCAACTTCTCTCCCTTTGACTTTTCTCCGGCCAGCAATCGAGCTCCTCCTTCACATGCAAGGCGTACATTGCGGCTTTGCATAGACCTTCCGGGCTATAATCGTCCTGCAGTGTTTTGCTCTTGAAAGAATAGCAACCAAGAAAATGCTGAAAAAAAGGGAAATGTAGGATTCAGTGTATGATGATGGAAGGCAAAAATGTAATCAATCACACACAAGAAGAAAAAAAAAAAANCTTAAAAAAAAAAATATGCACTAGTATTATACTATTATTACAAAATGCTACTTTCAAGTTTGTGCTTGTTGTATCTGTTAACCCCCTCAATAGGTGCAATTAATAATATACAATTGTCAAGGGGTTAGTTTTGATTTTCAAGGACAACTGGATTTTCCTGTAGTGAAATGAAACTCGATGGGTAGTTGGTAAATCTAGAACATAATTTATATAGATGCCTTTATGTGAAGTGAACTAATTGCAATTTTTTTTTTTTTTTTANTTTTTATTATCTCTTATGCCACTACATGGACTGGTTGGATAGTGACAACAAATCAACATCAATGCCTTATGTATTATTCAAAAGATCAAAGTAACATTAACAATTGAGAAAATCAATATTGTGAGTGTAAACATCATTGAAAGGCCCTATCATCATGTAAAAGCTTTTTTTCATAGATAAAAGACACTATAAGCCTATTAATAAGGAACCAATAACGTTTCAGTAACTATATAACATTTCAGTAGTTTGTAGAAATCAACCAATAACATTTTCTTTGACACCATCATAAGCACTCAATGTTTTATCAATGGCAGATGGATAAAAACGGAGCTGTAAAAATGTATATACCAATTTATCATAATAGAGCAAAAATTAAGGACAAGAAATATTTTCAGCATCCTACCACTAAGTCCCCTCGAACTCCAGCCTCTTCCATGGCTTCTCTCTCAGCTGCTTCCTCAGCTGTCTCGTCGTTTTCCCATCCACCCTATATAAATAAAATGAAAAGCATGATCTACAAAATGTTACTTTATATCAATTTTTTCACGCGTCTATCATAGAGAAAGCACATGATAATATCAAATATCAATGACGAACGTGTTACCACTGTATGAATTGCTTGATAATTTGTTCATTGTGAAAGCACAATTTATGTATGAACATGATCTGAATTGCTCAATAATTTGTTCATTATGAATTGCTTGATAATATCATATATTAATGATGAACATTATGAACATGTTACCACATTTTATGAAAGCACATGACAATTTGTTCACCCACCTTACTATTTTACAAAGAAAAGGTGTTCATCAAAGGACCAAAAAACATGTTCTTTGACAATAGTAAGGAGTCAAAAAACAAATGGTGCTCGACAGAGGGCAGGTTGATTTAAAAAGCACAGTTTAGGCTGAACAAGGAAAATATGCATACGTACGAGGAAGAAAGGGAAATTATATGATCCCACAGAAACAACGACAGGTGCCATGAATTAATTAAAAAAAAAAAAAAAAAAAAAAAAAAAAAAAAAAAAAAAAAAAAAAAAATCTTGCACTGTTCTCATTTTTCAGCAGCAGAACAGTGTTTATATAATCGGAAATGCATTGGCTATCTACTCCCATTAAGCTAAAAAGATGAAAAGGAGGTCGAAAATGACAATTCTGACCTTCGGAAATAGAAGACCTGGTCCGCTATTTGAATTGATCATTAGTACTTCAACTATCTTCTCTGGTGAACCACTGCCATTTTCCATGGTCCTATATCTAAACGGAATACACCTGTAAATGATGACAATACCCGTTAAGAAGATGAAAACTGATGCAGATTTGTACCGATCACGAGTAAACTAAAGGGAGATAGCAACACAAAACCCACACGAATCTGCACCGATCATGAGTAAACTAAAGGGAGATAGCAACACAAAACCCACACCTAAACAAAACCCATAATTGATTCAAATCCACACATATCTTCTCCAAATATTTCCTCATTTTCTCCCTAAATAAACAAACCCATTAACCCAAAATCAACTAAACAAACCAAATGAACCTGTAATTCTGCACACTTCATTTGCCAAATGGAAATAAATTAAACAAAACCCGGTAACCCAAAACACCTAAACAACCTAATGAACCAACAATTTCTACACATTTCATTCACCAAACGAGAAAAAAACCCAATAGTCCTCAAAGCCCTAAAGCAATTCCAGACACAACACCGCAAAAAACAACCCCAAATTTCTCCACATTATCCAAACTCAAAAAAGCCCCACACTCCTCATGCAGCCAGCCACACATCAACACAAAGCCATGCATGTAAACGTCAATGCGCACAAGGACAGAAACGAAAATAACAAAAAATAAAAAATAAAAATTACCCAGCAATGAGGCGGTAGCCATCCTCGTAGCGCTGCTGATGCCGGCCAGTTCTTGCTACCAATTCAGACATCTATCAAATCCGAACAAAAAAATATATCACGAAAACGTGAAATTTGTTCCGCAATCCGCAGTGCGTGGAGTAAACACACGAATTAGAGGACGATGCCCTTTTGATTTGGGAAAACAGAGCAA